GGTAAGAGTAGCATTTTTTTTTTCCTCTACTTTCCTCCCCTCTTATATGAACGGTCACAACATCATTATCTCAATCACAATTAAGTTACGTCAATATCTTGTGTTGACTTCTTTATAGAGAAAGAAAGACAAAGTAGAAAGTGTGACAAGAGGGGAGAGGAGGAGAGAGAAATTGGAAGATAAAGAATAATACTCCAAAAGGAATTTATTAGCATTGTCAAATCTAAATAAGAACAAAAGGAATTTAGTGATTGAAATGGTACCATAACAATCCAATCGTTGTTAGAGAGATCAAATTTTAAATTAAATTTACAATTCAAATAATGTGTTACCAATACAAAATAAGCACGTTAATCAATACTTAATAATTCAATCATCAACAACCACATTATTTGGTTTACAAAATTTGGTTCTCTAACATTACCCTAACAATAATGCAATTTTTACCATCTATCTGTATCACAATTATATACCACCCTAAATAGTATCTGAGACCGATTATGAAAGCAATCATCGTCAATCTCCCAGGCTTGCTTGTTTGTTCGGCGAGTCAAGGGTAACACAAACATTTCCTATGAATCAGATTAATAGTTTGAAAATTTCCAAATGTATTTCCTTAAATTTCTAGAAGAATCAATGGAGCACGAGGTGAGAACAATTAGGTGACCATGGTGAGGGAAGAGGGAGGAAGCGTATGGGAGAAACTAGAAACCCTAAAATCATGGTTTGATTAAATTTTGAAATAAAAATAATAATAAAAAAATAAAAAATAAAACACTCAAATTGTGAGGCTAAACCCATCCCTCTCTCTTTAGTTAATAATATCGTTGGTTCAAAAACTTAGTGAGAAGAAAAATAGAAGTATTTGTTGGAAGATTACTCACACTTGAAGTAAGATTGATACTTATTAAAGATGTCTTATCTTCTATTCCTGTTCAAGTACTAGCAACTTGTTCTCCTTCAAAGGGGGTCATGACTAGAAACTCCTTTTGATCGATGTCTAACTTTGTCACATCCCGGCCCGGGGCGGACCACTTCCCGGGCCCGCTCCACCACCGTAGCACGATATTGTCCGCTTTGGGCTTACCATTCCCTCACGGTTTTGTTTTTGGGAACTCACGAGCAACTTCCCAGTGGGTCACCCATCTTGGGAGTGCTCTGGCCTCCTTCTCGCTTAACTTCGGAGTTCCTACGGAACCCGAAGCCAGTGAGCTCCCAAAAGGCCTCGTGCTAGGTAAGGATGTGAATATACATTTAAGGATCACTCCCCTGGGCGATGTGGGATGTTACAATCCACCCCCCTTAGGGGCCCGACGTCCTTGTCGGCACTTCCGGCCAGAGATTGGCTCTGATACCATTTGTCACATCCGGGCCGGGGAAGTGATCTGCCCTGGGCCGGGATGTGACAAACTTTCTCTTTTTAAAAAAAATTAAAAACACTACAATTTTTTATTTTTGTAATATATGTGATTATCCACCTTGATCAATCACCACAAAGATCATTTTTAATTGATGTAGCTTTCCATGACACATTAGATGGTATGAAGTTGTGGTATTTTAAATGGTAAAAATAACATTACTCGTGCCATAAAGTATATGGTCTAACTTGTAGATGTATATATAGTCAAACTTGTAAAAACAACAGTCATCTTTTCTTCGCTCAAAGTTCTAAGCAGCTGTAATCGCAAATATAAATAAATATAATTGTGAAAAATCAATTAACACGCACGTAAGTTCGAGGTAAGAGACTAGGTGAAGAACGTGAAAAGAGAATAAAAGAAAAACATAGAAAATATGGAAGTGAAAATAGGAACAAATTGAAAGATGGATGGTTCACAATCACTAAACGTATTATACACACCTTAATGTGAAAAAAAGTTAGATTCAATTCAACACTAATCATTTTAAGCCCTCGCTTTATTTTTATCTTTGATAGATTAATAATAGATTTGGAAACTTCAACCGTGTGTAAATCAAAGCTTTGCTTACCAAAAAGGACTGAGAAGCTTCCTCGAAACTTCTAAGAACATGAAGGAAGTGAGATTTCCATATATAATGAAAGATTGAAGCGTCCAACTTATTTGAGAGCAATGACACCCAACTTGCATGCGCATTGAGCTTGAGAAATGAAAAGGAAATTATCTCGCATCGTTTGGTTGGGAGAGATTTTTCAGTGTGATTGGAACATGAGTGGTACATCATGTGTCATTATACCAATAGTAGAATATGTGTGCTAAAAAATTAATAACTTAACAAATACAATTTTCCACTACTTATATAAAAATATGTGATATACCACTCATATTCTCATCACAATAAAAAATTTCTTGTGTGGTTGGAGGATTGCACTTTACAAGTCATCTTCCTCATTGGATTTGGAGGTCGTCATCTTCATCTTCTTCTCACTTTTAAAATTTAAATGAAGATAATCAAATTAACGGACCGCAAAGGTCGTCACATTTCAAGGGATTGATTAGCCGGAAAAGTTACACACTAGTAGAAAAAGGCACATGTATCTTCGAAAAGAAAAAAGAAAAAAGGCACATGTACATATATGTAGGGTCAATTTTTGCAGATTTTAAAATTTAAAATACGATCAGGATCCCTTGAGCTATCTTGTAAATCTTCATAGAGTATTAGGTTAATCTTCGGTTGTGCAAAATATTGATTAACATACATCTTTAAACTTTAGGCGGAGGTTCATTGTATGCCAATGGTTTTTTTCTTTCACATTTTCATTCTTTGTTGGGGTTTGGAAGCGAATAAAATATGAAAGATTTCCTGAAGCTATATATCATCCTTCATAATAACCACGCGCGATACAATTTTTTTCTACATCAATTTTGCATTAAAAAAAAAAATCCAACATCATTTTACAATAAATGGGGGAAGACCTTAAAAGAGTATGTGCCTGCATCGTATTACTAAAATGCCCATGAGAGCAAAAATCACAAGGAATTAGACCACGGTCAGAGAGCAAGACTGACAAGCAAGAGACATAACAAAACCACAGCCACGCGTGTTAACATGAAAGTGTTAAATTGAAATTTAAAGTAAGACCACGAAAAGTTAGAGACCTTGAAATTCCAGGAGATTTCATGCCAAGCTTGGGCAACGAGCCTTCAATTGTATATGTGAAAGTGACTAGCCAATTTCATACAAGATAAAAACGAATCTATGTATTCTTCTTTGCTTAGAAGTGAGAGGTTTTAGGTTTGAATCTCGTAAATGGCGAATTTAATACCAAATTAAATTGCCCATTGTGTGGTTTAGCCGAATTCTCCCACCTCTTAATGTAAAAATACCAATGTACTCAAAACAATGAGAAAATTTAGGCAATAATCATAAAATAATACTTGCATCCCCCATAAGGGAAATGTACATTTTCCACCATTTTCTAACATATCTTAAACGTATAAATTTCATAATAAAAATCGTTTAATTATTTAATATTTATTTTAAAATCATTTCTAAAAAATTCATTCGAATCGGAGATTATTTATGCATCTAAATATATGGAACAAATCAACGGTGTGAATCCTAAGTGACATAATTGTGATGAATCAAACAATATCCGATTCAAATGATTTTTTTGTAAGAACAATCTTCAAATGAAAATTAACAAATTAAACGTGTTAGAAGTTACGTTATCTGCAAATGGGTTCCCTCATGGGAAATTCAAGTATTACATAATTAGTATATCATTGTTAATCGTCAGTTATGAGGACCTGTGAGGCCTTTTTCTATAAGTCTTTAGATTAATTTAATGGTAAATTAACATATATATTCAACTACCTCTTATACCTAATCAAAATTCTAACCTGCAAATCTAAAAATTAAAATGAAAATAAGAAATCATTTAGTACTACAGTTTAATAGTTTAATAGTATTCCTCCTCATTAGTAAATAAGAAATCTTAGGTTCGACTCTTGTCAAATGTGAATTTCAACCACATTATTACTAGCTCATCATGAGTCTTAGCCAACTCTTCCACCCCAGTCTAAATAATATTGTTTGTTTAAAAAATAAAAATAAAAAATAAAAAAAAAGAAGTTCAAGCGTGAGAAACTTCCAACGGCAGGCTTTTTCCATGGGTGATAAACTTTGCACGTCACAAAATCAAGATCATATTTAGGAATGGACAAAATATTCACGGTTATGAGTAACTGTGATTATCCGTCAATTTAAATTCACGGTTACGTTATTTAGATAAATAAATAATTATGGATATAACCGTTTGGGTGATTATGGATATTAACCGCGATTATAAACAAGTACCGTTTACCTGTTTATTTTAATATATATATATAATTATGGATATAACTGTTTGGGTTATTATGGATATTAACCGCGATTATAAACAGGTACCGTTTACCTGTTTATTTTAATATATATATATATATATATCTCCTATTTTTATGCGTTGGTGATGTCTGGATTCAATCTTTTAGGATATTGTATTAATTTTTAATCAGAATTGGTGATTGAGAAACATTATGATTGCAAATGAAATGAAGGAATACTCCCTGCAAATTCCTCCTTTCTTCTTCTTCCTCCTCCCAAACCCTTCGATTCTCGGCATAAAGGTGTAAATAGTTTTTGTTGAGATTTTATTATTCTTGGTCAGAGCTGCAGACTCACATTCTGATCAAATAAAGAAACATTTTGATATGGGGCTAAAATTTCACATAAAAGGTTCCTTTACAAACATCACATTCTGACTTCTACCCTCCATATAAGAGAAATTTCCCATTGGATCTACCCAATTCCATCAGCCGGGAAACTTTTGGCACAGTAATAGTGTACCTAGTTTTAACAAATTTTCCAATTATGCATTAAAGACTACAAAGGAAAATGCTTTCTAGTAGTGTGCTTTTACGTGGATCCCTGAACATGTAACTTGGTTCCAGACTAACTTACCTTGCATATAGGTCGTTGAGGATCCCTCAAGTTGACTAGCAGATTGTCACACTTCAAATCAAACTGAACAATATTCTTTCAATGCAATTATTCCATGCCAAAAGCAGCATCCATGGCAATTATAAGCTTTCTACGACGGTCAAGTGATCTGCATAAGGAATGCCACGTTCCAAGATAGGCATAACAAAACTGTTAAGATGCAAAAAAGAAAAGAAATTATAGAAAAATTACCTATTCTTTTTAAGTAGGGCATGCCTAAGTGATCCGTTCACCATGTACTCAGTTACAGTTGCCAACGTTCCTCCAGCTCCATCAGGTACTACCCCATATAATGCAACCACATTTGGATGATGGAGAGCTGAAAGGATTTGCGCCTCTCTCCAGAAGTCCTTTGTCTGATACAGCCACATGAACAATCAACTTCACATGCATGTCAAATGAAAATTACAAATTTTCACAAGAAATTTAAAGATTGTCCATAAGGTACCAAGATATTCCAGATAAAAATGACACCTTTGTTTTAAGGCAGACGGTGTATGTCATGATAGATGCCAGAAGCCAATGAAAATCATATTACTCTAACATTTAATGTCACGGATTATTGTCATAAAACAACTAAAGATGTTAACTTTCTTCAACACCTACTGTGCAGGTGATGGGAAAAAATAACAAAACAAATTTGTTCAGGAAACCCACCAGTCGGTCTTGCTCTGATGATCTTCCTGCAAAACAGCTCTTTTTTATTCGCTTTATAGCAACATCTGTTCCCCGCCATTTTCCATGATAAACAGTTCCATATGTACCAGATCATAATTCCCGTAATTATTCAAGATCTGCATTTTTTATAATCTGGACCACATTTAAAAGATTCACTTGCATGAACAACTTAAATTTTATAAATACCCACAAAGGAAAAATGCTGCAAAAATGATCTATTCACAAATCAGAGAGCATTTCAGTCATATTATTATCTCAAGGAGCGACATAATTACCACCTAAAGCAATCAATGACAATATGAGAAGTATACACAAGAATGAGTGATTGTTGTCTCATACGTCCCTACACATCCATTTGTTATCAGTGAATATAGCTCTCTCTATAGGCTACATATCTACGCACATATATCAAGTCAGAATCTTGACAAAAACTTTTATCATTCGAAAGTATTGAGCTTTGTATCCCTATTCCCTAATGAGAATATAACAGGAGTCAAAACTGCATACTCCAAATTAAGTGTTTAGAGGCAAGAGGAGTATGAATCTCTTCTCATCAGGCAAAAATACAATCTTAGGGATTTAGGAGACATGAGAAATTGAAAGGGGAATCGTTGCACTTACCAAGAGACAATCCCATCATATGTAATCATCAGATGCTATACTTTTTTAAGATGGAAGATAGATCAGAGTCAAACAGGAAAGGGATAGCAGACACGGTGAGCTCTGTCTCAGTTTGAAAAGAAAAAAGAAAAGAAAATTGGGTAGTTTTAGGAGCAAAAGAGTTCATTTGTGTAGAACTATAACAGCATCTGAGAGCTAGGAAGTTATCACCCAATAAATTTTGTTATACCAAAGATTCAGAAAACGGGATTAGGTATGGTGGTACCCTTTCTCTTCACATTTATAATATACGGAACTAATTAACTATGTTGAGTACAGTGAAGGGGGAAAACCATACCTTCCTATGAATGAATTTAAAAGAGGGGATTTTCCTGCATTTTTAGGACCAAAAATGAAGCAGCTAACATTTCTTTCCGTTTTTTTCCTTTTACGATCTACTGATCTTCTTCTAGTAACATGGATAGCTGAAGCAGGACTGCCATTGTATCCAACATATATCAAATTCGCCAAACTTCGGTTTGGATTTAAAAGTGTCATGAGGGCCCACTGGAATCACAAAAAAACAAAGATATAGTTACAATTTACAATTGGCTTAAGGAGATTATTTAAACAAAGAAAAAAGGGAAACATGTATATCATCCAAAATAAATGGGAAAAAAAAAAATTCATGAAGAGCATATGTAAACTAATTTAAACAGGGTAGCAACGAAAACGAAGATACCTCAGACAAAAATGCATTAAGAGGTAAATTCCCAGATGCCGTTCTCTCTGCAGCATCCTTATAAGGAGCTTCACTCCAAGGACTGAAATTTCAGTAAACTGCATATTAAAAATCTATTTTTGGAGAATAAAAAGAAACCATGATAGGAACATAGATAATTTTATCCACAAATAACAAAAGGGTAAAAGGAACATACATTATTTTACCCTCACCAGTCATTTCCAAGTCAATCCATACCAGTGGCATTTTGTACTCTTCTGGAGGTATCTTCGTAATTTGCTTACTCTGCTTCTCATTTTCCAGCTATAACTCATTTCCACATAAAGATACAAAATCTAGATAACAATAACTAATGCCAAACCACCCAACCAGTGGCGGATCCACAGTGGGGTCGTCGGGGTCGCACGACCCCTTGGAAACCATGGAAACAACCTTGAAGCTCCCATATGCGACCTCTTGGAGCTGGGGTCGTCGGGGTCGGACTCGCACGCCAACTGTTCGACAAAAAGCCTGAATGAAGACTCGGCAAGAAGAGGAAGAAGAAGCAGCGCTCGCGCGCGCTTCTTTTTTTTTCAAAACGGCGTCGTTTTGGCCCAGGAAATTTTTTTAAATGACCTGGCCAAAACGGCGTCGTTTTGGGCCAGGCCGAACAAAAAAAAAAAAAAAAATTCCCACCGTGTCCCCCCCCCAGTCCCAGCCTTCCTACCCGACTCCTATACAATCAAAAGCCCCAATTTCTTTTGTTTTCTCATCCTCCAACCCTAACTCAATCCCCCCAAACCCTCAATTCCTCTCCTCCCTTGCCCAAACCCTCAACTCCATCTCCTCCCTTGCTGCTCCCCTGCTGGCGGCTCCAACTCCATCTCCTCCCTTTGTTTATATTGTGAGTATTTATTTTGAATATTTTGTATATGTAGAATATATTTAATTAATTGAAATTCAATTCATATTTATTTTGTGAGTTTTTATTGTGAGTTTTTATTGATGGTTTGTTTATATTGTGAGTTTTTATTGGTTTGTTTTTATTGATGGTTTGTTTATATTGATGGTTTGTTTATATTGTGATTTTTTATTTTCATTATTTTGTATATGTAGAATGCAAGATGAGATATTTAATTTAATTGAAATCCAATTCATATTTATTTTGATTATGTTTATGGTTTGTTTATATTGTGAGTATTTATTTTGAATATTTTGTATATGTAGAATATATTTAATTTAATTGAAATTCAATTCATATTTATTTTGATTATATTGATGGTTTGTTTATATTGTGAGTTTTTATTTTCATTATTTTGTATATGTAGAATGCAAGATGAGATATTTAATTTAATTGAAATCCAATTCATATTTATTTTGATTATGTTTATGGTTTGTTTATATTGTGAGTATTTATTTTGAATATTTTGTATATGTAGCATTATTATGGAACGGTTTTTTAAGAGAAAGTCATCATCGGGTTCGGGTAGTTCGAATAATGTTGATAGTTCAAATACTGTTGGTAGTTCAAGAACTCCAAGTTCAAGACAAAGTCAGTTAGATGATGTTTTGGATAATCTTCAAGCGGATCCTGGATTAAGAACTCGAATAATAGATTATGACGCTAATATGAGAGATGAGGTCCGAAGATTATATCTACAAAAAGGACCTTGTCAACCTAGAGGTCATAATTTCCCAATAACTAATATGTCGGGAATTAATCGACGCTTCATTCCCCAATGGTTTGATGAGTTTGATTGGTTGGAGTATAGTGTATCTAAAGATGCGGCATTTTGTCTCTATTGCTATCTCTTTAAAACCAATTTTGAACAAGTGGGTAGTGAAGCTTTCACTGGAGATGGATTTAAGAATTGGAAGAATGGGAGAGAAAGATTTAAGATGCATGTTGGACCGGTTGGGAGTGTTCATAATAAGGCTAGAGAAGCTGCTACAAATTTGATGAATCAAGCTACACATATTGAAACGGCAGTGAGCAAACACTCTGACCAAGCTCGTAAGGCTTATCGCACATGCTTGATTGCTTCAATCAAGTGCACTAAGTTTTTATTGCGACAAGGTCTTCCTTTTCGTGGCCATGATGAAAGTGCCACTTCAAGCAATAGGGGAAATTACTTGGAGTTATTGCAATTCCTTGCAGATAATAATGATAAAGTTAGAGAAGTTGTGATGGAAAATGCTCCGGGGAATCTCAAATTACTAGCTCCTTCCATTCAAAAAGAAATTGTGAATTCATGTGCCCTTGAAACATTTGATGCTATCATGGATGGTCTAAAAGATAGATTCTTTTCAATATTGGTGGATGAAGCACGTGATGTGTCTGTGAAAGAGCAAATGGCTATGGTGTTGCGTTATGTGGATGACAACGGGCATGTAATTGAAAGATTTGTGGGTATCCAACATGTTACCGACACTACTTCAAGTTCACTAAAGGATGCTATTGACACATTGTTTTCTCGCAACGGTTTGAGCATTTCCAAGCTACGAGGACAAGGTTATGATGGTGCTAGCAATATGAGAGGTGAGTTGAATGGCCTTAAAACAAAGATATTGAGAGAACAACCTTGTGCATATTATGTTCATTGCTTTGCTCATCAACTTCAACTAGCTCTTGTTGCCGTAGCAAAGAAGAATATAGACATTGCCTCTTTTTTTGCAACGGCTAATAGTGTGGTTAATCATGTTGAAGCATCTTGTAAGCGGCGTGATGCACTTAGAGGGCAACTTCAAGAAGAGCTTGTGATAGCTTTTGAAAATGATTGTCTTATAACGGGGCGAGGCTTAAATCAAGAAACAAGTCTCAAACGTGTCGGTGACACACGATGGAACTCACACTATGGTACCTTGATTAGCATCATTTCTATGTTTTCATCCGTGGTTCATGTGCTTCAAATGGTTATTGATGATAATCCCAATGAAAGTGCGGGTGAAGCAAATAAGTTAATGAGAATGATACTTACTTTTGAGTTTGTGTTTCACCTTTTCTTGATGAAAGTCATATTGGGACTCACAAATGATTTGTCACAAGCATTGCAAAGGAAAGATCAAGAAATTGTGAATGCAATGGCTTTAGTGAAATCATGCAAGGAAAAGCTATATTGGATGAGGAATAATGGGTTCGATGCATTGGTTGATGAAGTATCTTCTTTTTGTGAAAAACATCATATTGATGTTCCTAACATGAAAGAGGCATTTATACTTCCAGGGAGGTCAAGGCGTTATGCTCCAATAAAGACAAATCGTCATCATTATCGTGTGGAGCTCTTTATTTATGTCATTGATGAGCAAATTACGGAGTTAGAGGATCGCTTTAATGAGGTAAATATCGAGTTGCTTATTTGTATGGCATGTTTGAGTCCGAAAGATTCATTTGTAGCTTTTGATAAACCAAAGTTACTTCGTCTTGCTCAATTTTATCCTCAACACTTTTCGGATGAAGATTGTTTGGCACTTGAAGATCAACTTGAGATTTATATTCATTATGTGTGTTCCAGTAGTGATTTCTCTCAATTGGAAGGGATTGGTGATCTTGCAAAAAAAATGGTGGAGACAAGGATGCATCAAGTATTCAATTATGTATATTTGCTCATTACATTGTCTTTAGTTTTACCAGTTGCAACTGCTTCAGTGGAGAGAGCATTTTCTGTCATGAATATTGTTAAGGGTCCACTTAGGAACAAAATGGGAGATCAATGGTTGAGTGATAGCTTGCTTGTTTATATTGAGAGAGATATTTTTGCTTGTATTGAAAATGAAGCTATAATGCTTCGTTTTCAAAATATGAAACCTCGTCGTGGACAATTATAGTTTGTAATATTGTTTCCATTATGAATTATGAATGAAAGTACTATGATTTCATTTTCAATATGTTTTTCCATCCTAAATTTTTATTTGAACTTTTACACTGCGACCCCTTGGGGTAAGATTCCTGGATCCGCCACTGCACCCAACTGTCCTTTTACAAACAGAACTGTTTACAATAAGCATATATAACATGATTTGGTCTGCAGTGCTTTCACCAATAGTTATAAAAACAAAGATTCTAAAGATATGCATGCAAAATGACTATTACCTCCAAGTAAGCAGTTGCACGGATGCAATCATAAGTTGCACACATCATGTTCAATCTGATAGCTTCAGTATAGCACTTGACAACATTATTTCAGGCTTTTCCTTAAATGCAGTATTTCCCTGGGAAAAGATGAGTAAACATAGAAATTGAAACAATACTCATTAGTACATTGGTATCACAGTTCTTTTGCTGATAGAAAATGAAATTAAACAGATATAAGCATAATATTTGACAAACAAAGCAATGGGAAAGTAATTTTCTGATATTTCATTTAATTAAGGGGATGGAGAAATCTAATTTCAATTTTGAAGGAGAACACTATGTACTTCATTCATATCAAAGAATAGCACGATTCTAATTTCAATTTTTAACATAATAAAATATATGGCATTCACATATTACTTAAACTTCTTTCAAATTTACTTTTGTATTTAAAGATTGTATATTTTAATGAGTTTAAATTGACTTTATATATAAATTATACCATTTTATATTTAAATAATAATGTACATTGTATAATTACTGTTGTCAAAATAAACAAACAAGAGGGAGCCTTCACAAAGGTTGCTTAGGAGAAGTCTCAGCAGTCGGTAGAGCCCCAGAAAGAGAAGGCACCGAAGGGGGATCATTTGGAGCCTCAGTACTGGACAGAACCCTAGAATGAGGAGGCATCGGAGGTTGATCATTTGGAGCTTCATTACGCGGTACAGCCCCAGAAGACGAAGGCAATAAATGCCTTTGGAACAAACCCACAAACCTCTGATGATCACGTAAAATCTGACCATCAGATTCCTTCATCTGGTCAAACTTCCTCTTCATGTTTGTAGCATAGTCATGTGCGAGCCGGTGCAACTGTTTATTCTCATGCTTGAGCCCTCTAATCTCCGGTTTGAGACTCATCACTTCAGCCGCCAATGATTCAACTTGGCGGGTTCGAGCAAATAGGCGTTGGGCCATATTAGACACAGAACCTGCACACTGAACACTGAGAGCCAGAGAATCCTTAACAGCCAACTCATCAGACCGTTTGGAAAGTAGTCTGTTATCTTTGGGAGTGAGAAGGTTCCTGGCCACCACCGCAGTGGTCATATCATTCTTCATCACGGAATCCCCAACAGTAAGAGGACCAGTAGGAGATAAGAAGGATGGGTGCCATATGTTGTCTGGAGAAGGCGTGGCTGCCTCTTCAACAAGGTTTAAGTCAAAACGACGGTCGGAGGGGCCAGACATTTTCAAAAGTGTTGAAGAGAGAAGAGGTCGGACAAATCAAGATCTTAGAAATGCAATGGTGGAGATTCAAGTGTGCTTTGGAACTTAATGTCAGCCTTTATAAAAACCTGCACTCGACGGAGCTTCAGAAATCGAAGAGGCGTTTGCTTTCTCAAAAGCTGGGCTGCTCAGAGACCACGAGGGTCGATCTCAGAAATTGAAGATGCGTTTGCTTTCTTAAAAGCTGGGCTACTCAAAGACCACGAAGGCCGATCTCAAAAATCTAAGAGGCGCTTGCTTTCTCAAAAGCTGGGCTGCTCAGAGACCACGAGGGCCGATCTCAGAAATCGGAGAGCCACCTGCTTTTTCAGCCTTATCAGCACCTGTCACATGCACACTCACCTTTGCGGAAATTACGGGCATTCTGTCGAAGATTTCTGGTGAAGTAGAAAGCACGTGAATTCAATCACCCACTTTCCACACGCACTATCAGCTCATGGGTACCACAGATAACTTTGTCAAATATCTCTGACAAAGTTTAGACACGTGAAGCTTGCAGCTCCCACTACATCACTATGACCAAGAAAGGTAAAAGAATAGCAAAGAAACAGCACTAACAAAGTTTAGACACAAATTTTGAAGGTCTAGCTACCATATTATTACCCATAAGGGTAAAGGAACAGCACCACTGCTGGATAATTACAAAGTCCCTGTGTGTCAACCTCTGTGCTCTGTGGCAAGGTAGACTAGCAAACATGCCCAACCTTTACTCACATTCGAGAAAACACTCCCAACAAGATTGATTGCTCCAAAATCGAAGAAGCACCGTCCTCCGAATCTCGGGAGCCAGACTCCCAACATGATTACTTTCTCAAAAATCGAAGAGAGACTGCTCTCCAAATCTCAAGAGCCAGACTCCCAGCAGGATTGCTTTCTTAAAAATCGAAGAGGCACCGTTCTTCGAATTTCGAGAGCCAGATCCCCGATAGGATTGCTTGTTCGAAAACTGAAGAGGCACCGCTTTCTCAACTTCGAGAGCCAAATCTCCTTGGATAAAGCTTGTCTGTAATCTTCACACGCAACATCAACTTTCCAGATACCACAGACCACTTTTTCAAAGTGCTCTAACAGAGTTAAAACACGTGAAGCTGGCAGCTCCCATTACCGTGCTATGACCAAGCAGGGTAAAGGAATAACATTACTACTTGTTGTTCGGGAGACTCCTATATATGTCGACCTCCATCCTCAACGGACAGGCAGACCTGCAAAAATGCTCAACCCTTCCTCATATCTAAGAGGGCACTCCCAACAAAGCCTCTCGAAATACTCAGCTTTCTTTCCCCCCGATAATACCTCTGCAAACAAGCTACACCAGAGCAAGAATATCTCATATCATTAAGGTTAAAAGCAAGAGTATCCCATATCATGCTTTTCCTCTATCTTTTCATTTGGCCTTGTTCTTACCTGCAAGACAAGGAGAAAGAAAGCAATCAGTCAGCACTTGGAATCAAGCTTCCAGTCAGGAACCGACTGCCTGAAACCCCTTACCTGATTACTTACCTGGCATTGCTCTCGAGTACTCATCTTCAACATCTTATGCTTCCAGAGAAGATACCACATCTGCCTGAGGAACAGATAGGGAAAGTGAGAAGGATACAAGGAAACATGTGGAGACAAGCGTAACAGAACACGTGCCGATACATCCACTACTTTGTCAACAGCAAAAGTATCCCATATCAGCAGGGTCGAACGTACTCAAGATTTGATGGACTTGTTTTGACCCTCAAATTCTTCATTCGGCCTTATACTCTGGAGGAAACTAGAAAACCCTCCAGCCCAGTTCAAGAATAAGCATGTGGAAAGTTACTTCTTCAAAATCAAAAGTATCTCATATCATCTCTTCTCTTTTTTCTTCTCTTTATCCTTCATGCTTCCTGCAAGATAGGGAGAATGAGAACAATCAGTCGGAACTCGAAATCAAATTTATGATCTGGGACTGATTGCTTGAAGCTCTGATTGCTTACCTTGTCTGTCACCTCTATCAGCAGATCCCCTAGCTCGGTGACTTGGGGGACTCCTACTTCATGGTTTGTATCACGTTTGACCAAGCCTGAAACTACAAGTAAGCTTCAAGTGAAATTGATACATTACCTTATGCATCTCCACCAGTTAAAGATATCACCCCTGGATGGAGGAAGAGTACTTCCAGAGAAGATGCCACATCTACCTATGAGACAGATAAGGCAAGTGAAGATGATACCACACTTCGGTACTTAGAAGTTTCGTGATTACGAGATCATTCTCCCACAATATTTCCTAATGTCATTTGTACTAAATCATTCACTTGTACTCACTAAAGGAGAGCTTGAACCTATGTACTTGTGTAAACCCTTCACAATTAATGAGAACTCTACTCCGTGGACGTAGCCAATCTGAGTGAACCACATACATCTTGTGTTTGCTTTCCTGTCTCTATCCATTTACATACTTATCCACACTAATGACTGGAACAATCTAGCGAAGACCACAAACTTAATACTTTCTGTTGTACCAAAGTCCTCACTGATTTTGTGCATCAACAATCTTTAAGTCCTTACCTTTTTGCGTTGGTAATGGATGAGTCAACATGACATATTCAAGATGATATTCCTTGGTGTATGCTTTTCGCAAACGATATAGTGTTAATAGATGAAACTCAGGAAGAGGTAAATGCGAAGCTTAACCTTTGGAGAGAAGTGTTGGAATCTAAAGGTCTTCACCTAAGCCGATCAAGACAGAATATACGGAGTGCAAGTTTAGTGCAAATGGAGGCCACAATGAGTTAGGCGTGAGGATCGGAGATCAGGAAATACCAAAGAGCGACCGTTTTCGCTACCTAGGATCTATCTTGCAAAAGAACGGAAAATTAGATGGAGATCTCAACCATAGAATACAAGCTGGATGGATGAAGCGGAAGAGTGCATCCGGCGTGTTGTGTGACAGTTGTAGGCCACTGAAGGCGGTGAAGCATCAACACGTACACAAAATGGGTGTAGTGGAGATGAGGATGCTTCGTTGGATGTGTGGGCACACGAGAAAGGATAAGATTAGGAATATGGATATCCGAGGTAAAGTAGGAGTAGCCGAAATTGAAGGAAAGATGAGAGAAAATCGATTACGGTGGTTTGGACATGCGCAAAGAAGGCCTACTGAGGCTCCGGGCCGAAGGGGTAGAGGAAGACCTAGGAAAACTTTGGAAGAGACCCTAAGAAAAGACTTAGAGTACTTGGATCTAACGGAGGACATGACACAAAACCGAGCGCAATGGCGTTCTAGGATTCATATAGCCGACCCCACTTAGTGGGAAAAGGCTTTGTTGTTGTTGTTGTTGTTGTTGTTGTTGTTGTTGTATTGTATAATTACAGTTATAGTCCATGAATACAATTAGAGGCCTTTGAATTTCTTTGCAAGAGAAGATTTATACGGAAAAAGCAACTGCAAATATACAGAAATAGGGAATTTAAGGTTTGTAGTTCACCTACACAACAATTTCTTACTATATAGATACAACTTAGTAGTAAGAGAGCTTTAGATAACACTATTCAAGTCCACAGGTAATTATAAACTATAATCATATAATAATATCTCACAATAAAAATCAATGTGACTAAAAACAAATGATATATATCAACTTTGATGATTTCTCTTATTTTCCCTCTCTTTCTCAGCAACCAAACAGCAATCGAAAATTACCAAAAACTGAAAAGATTGAAGTACCTGGGTAAGTTGGAATGCCTGGGTTGCCATTTGCACTTGGTGTAAAAAAATCAGGGTGGGCATCTTCAAGAGCACCTAAACCCTTCATCCATAAACGTATGTATAAAAATCAACAAAATAATCTTGTGATTGCATTAATCCGTAGAAAAAAAATATGCTAAAATTCAAAGTTAGGGTGCAAAGAACCTAATTTTCAGCAATCAAGAGTCGCAGATCCGAGGCATTCAAGCACACAACAGAGAAGAGAGTATATTTTTGAGGCACAAACCGAGTCTTTACGTTTCCTTCTTGTGGATCTGGGAATTGGATCAATGTTTAGCTCAGAAATTGAAGGATCGAACATGGATCTGCGAGTTTGACCGAAAGATCATCCATGGGTTGCCGATTGAATTCTCCCTCTCTCTCTCTCCGTGCAACCAACACGTAATCCATGGGTTGCCGATCAATTCAACCTTTTCATAACAATGCCACAATTTGGTTCTTATACAACCATCCTTCTCACAATGCCAGCTGGCCATTAACAATAACAACATTTAGCTAAATAATATTCCACTATTATTCTAACCACTATTATAATCATAACACTACCCCTCCCTTACAAAATAAACCTTGTCCTCAAGGTTAGAATTAAAGACTGAAATCGAGAAATTTGGCAGTAAACTCATCATAATCCTCCCCATGTAGTTTTGTCCTCTTTGTTGTTCTTCCACTAGATTAATAGCTTAACTCCAACAACTTGGCCCTTCTTGTAGACCCTCTTTTGTAGCACCTTGAGTGGTTCAAGTGGTAGCAACCCATCATCAGTGACAGTAGGCAAGAATGGAGTTGCAGTGACCTTGTCTCCCAAGTGCTTCTTCAACCAACTAACATGAAAGACTGGATGAATTTTTTAATTCTCAGGCAGTTTCAACCGGTAGGCAACCTTCCTAATCTTTTCCAAAACCTCATAAGGACCATAGTACCGGGGATGAAGCTTACGGTAAGCATGAGATGACAAAGATTGCAATTAATAGGGAATTAATTTCAAATTCACCAAATCTCCTTCCTCGAAAACCCTTTCACTCTGATGCTTATCCACTTGTGTTTTCATCCGGCTCTGAGATACTTGCAAATTGGTCCTGAGCATTGTTAATAGTTTGTCCCTAGTTAGCAACCCCTGCTCCACAATATCCAACTTAGCAGTGCCAAGCTCATAAGACGCGATGTGTGGTGGTGGATAACCATAGACCACTTTGAAAGGGGTGAACTTTGAGGAAGTGTGGTAGGAAGTGTTATAGCTCCATTCTGCCCTTAGAACCTAGTGGAGCCATTTCTTAGGTTGACAGCTAGTGAAGCATCGCAAGTAAGTTTCAAGGCACCGATTCACCACCTCGGTCTGTCCATCACTCTGTGGATGGTAACCTGAGCTCATAACAACTTAGAACCTTGCAACTTAAAAAATTCTTTCCAAAAAACACTCATGAAAATGGTGTCTCTATCACTCACAATGGTAGAGGGCATCCCATAGAGTTTAAACACATTATCAACAAATTCCTGAGCTATCATGCTTGCCGTATATGGATGTGCTAAGGGAATGAAATGAGCATACTTGGACAACCTGTCTACTGTTACCAGGATCACTGATTTGCCTTTGCACAGAGGTAAACCAATGATGAAATCCATGCTTATGTCCTTCCATACATGTGTAGGAATCGGCAGAGGTTGAAGCAATCCAGGAGGGGAGATGGTTTCATACTTATTTTGTTGGCATTCTCGACATTCAGCCACCCATGACCTGAGATCTTTCTTCATTCCTACCCAATAGAAGCCCCTTTTCAATCTCTGATAAGTCTTTAGAACCCCTTCATGGCCTGCACTTGGAGAGGAGTGATGTTCCTCAATGACCTTCATTTTCCAACTTGAATCTGGGCTAAGCACGATCCGCCCCTTGTATTTGAGGAAATCGTTGTCTAAATGGTACTTGGACAGATTGGGGTCAATTGCAGCAGCTTGAGAATATGCTAGCACCTCCTGCACGTTGCTTTGTATCCAACTATCTTGTTCTAACCCTCTTCGAAGTTCATCCTGCCACCCGAAGTAGGGGTATGTTATAGCTTTGCACTACAATAAGTCACGGAGAGGTTCCTCTTGTAATTGAGACGATCCAACTACTCGAGAAAAGGCATCAGCCACTATGTTGTTATGGCTTGCCTATATTGTATCTCATAATCAAATACCAACAATTTGGCCACCCATTTCTGTTGGAACGGGGTATTAGTTCTTTGACTCAGAAATTATTTCAAGCTGCTATGATCTGTCTTTATGATGAAGTGGTGCCCTTGAAGATAGTTTTGCCATTTTTTGACAGCACTAACGATGGCAATCAACTCTCTTTCGTATGTAGACAATGCTTGATTCCGTGGTCCCAATGCTTGACTTGTGAAAGCTATAGGTCTGCCATTCTGTTGCAACATAGCCCTTATTCCATTGCCAGATGCATCACATTCCAAAGTGAAAGGAATAGAAAAATTGGGTAAGGCTAATAGATGCGGAGAAGTTATGGTTCTTTTTAATGCTTGGAAAGCTGCCGTGGCTTCAGGGGACCAAATGAAACCATCCTTTTTAGTTAGTTGGTACAAGGGTTGGCACACCTTGCCATAACCGGGGATGAATTTTCTGTAATACCCCGAGAGCCCGAGAAATCCCCTTAACTCTTTGATATTTTTTGGTATAGGCCAATCTATAATTGCTTGAATCTTAGTAGGATCTGCAGCCACCCTATCACGAGATACGATGTGCCCCAAGTATTCCACCTGTGATTGTCCAAAAGAGCATTTCGATTTCTTCACTGCTAATTGGTGTTTCTGTAGTAACTCCAAAGTTTGGTGCAGGTGTGAAAGATGGTCCTCACAGGTCTTGTTGTACACCAAAATGTCATCAAAGAACACTAATATGAACTTCAAGAGGTAAGGCTTAAAAATGTCATTCATAAGGGCTTGGAAAGTGGCAGGAGCATTTGTAAGACCAAGGGGCATGACTAAGAATTCATAATGCCCTTGGTGAGTTCGGTTCCACATCGGAATGATGCATACGGATCTGATGATATCTAGACCTAAGATCAAGCTTAGAAAAATATTGAGCGCCATGCAATTCATCTAACAAATCATCCACTAATGGAATAGGATATTTATCTTTAATGGTAATGTTGTTCAATTCACGATAGTCCATGCAAAGCCTCCAAATGCCCTCCTTCTTCTTGACCAAGAGAACTGGAAATGAAAAAGGGCTATGACTTGGCTGGATGAATCCAGCATCTAAAAGTTCTTGCACAGCTCATTCAATCTCAGTTTTTTGCATAGGACCATAATGGTATGGTTTAATACTCGGGGGCTTGGAACCAGAAAGCAATGGAATTTGGTGATCATGAGCCCGTAGAGGTGATAAGGTAGTAGGAGTTTTAAAAACCGCTTCAAACTGCTTGAGCATACCCTGTAACTCGAGGAGTTGCTGAGGATTCAAATTGGATGCCTCCAACTGATTAGTTTCCATTGAATACAATAGGACTCCCTAATTAGAGTGTTTAAACTCTTTTTCAAGCTGTTGACAAGCAGTATCCTGTACCAAGTACGCTGGAACAGTGGAATGAACAAGCTTATAGTGGTCTTTCCCTACAGAAAAGTCCATGGTTAAGTTTTGAAAGTCCCACAAGATTGGACTCACAGAGGAGAGCCATTTCACACCTAATACAACATCGCAACCCCCTAGAGGAAGTGCGTAGAGGTCAGTGTGGTAGCGATATGCGCCCAATTCCAAGGGAATTTGTTGGCAACAGCCTTGACTTCGGACTCTACCCTCATTAGCAATCATGACATCGAAGGGTTTGATGGTGTGACATGGCCATCCGAGCTGCTTAAGCAACCTAGAATCCACAAAATTGTGGGTGCTACCGGAGTTAAGGAGTATGTTGACAAGTAGAGTGTGAAGCACACCAGCCACTTTCATGGTTTGTACCGTGAAGGGCTCAGTAGTTCCATAGAAAACACAAGCACTTAACTCCATGCTTGAGATGGAAGGATCAATAGGCTCCAACAATTCACACTCTGTAGGCTCCATCAATTCACACTCGGTAGGCTCCAACCCATTACAGACATCAAGCGTAAGGAGTTGTTTATTATGGACATATTTGTGCCCTCGAACCCATTTTTCATCACAGAACCAACACTTGCCCCTGTCCTTCTTCCGTTGAACTTCCTCGGGGGTGAGTTTCTTATAAGGGAGGGTTTGAGGATGAGGCCTGGTAAGGGAAGGTAGAGGTAAGGCGAGAGGAGGTTTGGGTGGGGGAAGAGGTTTTGGGGGAGAGGGTTTAGCATCTAATTGGGCAGCAAAGGAAATGGTCTCATGAACTGAGGAAAGGCGAAGCAATTTAACATCGTAACGCAATTCCTTTTTGAGACCCCCCAGAAAGCAACTCTTAAAGAGAATAGGGCCAACATCAACGGTTCGAGTGGCAAGGCCCCTGAATTCCACAATATAATCACGAAGAGGACTGGTTTGGCGGAGTTTGAATAGCGACTCAGTGCAGTCCTCAAATTCTGGTGGACCAAATTTCTGGCACAAAACAGTCGTGAATTCACCCCAGGTGGGAGTGGAATGGACATAATCGGGCCAACGAAACCATTGCAGCAGCTCATTCTCAAAGTGGAATGAGGCAGTCAGCACCTTCTGATTCTCCGAAGTGTGGTAATAAGCAAAATACTGTTCATCTTTATAGATCCACGTTGAGGGATCATCGCCGTCGAAGAAACGGGGAAAATCCAGACGATGTGACCACTGCGGGCGAAGAGTAAAACCTCCGCCTTTAAAAGAATCACGGCACTAAAACCGGGGAGTGTCGAGACAGCGAAAATCTCCATCATCAGTCACAATTGGAGGAGGAATATGTGGATCTGGCACTAGAAGAGGTGGTGCGGTCGAAGAGCCAGCAACGCCTTGAGAACCAGGGTCGCGATGGAGATGCTCCAAGAAAAGGGCGAATTTTGTTTCGAGGGCGGTGAAGCGGGCGTCGAAATTGGCGTTGGAAGTCTGGATCATCTGAGGAATGGCTCCTAGAGGCTAATACCAATTGTTAGGTTACAACTCCCAAATTCCCTTTCTCGACCTGCTAGTAGCAGATAGCAATGGCGGTGAGTGGGAAAGAAGATAGAGAGAGATAGAAAGTTTTCTTGTAATATTGTTTTTCTAATTCAATTCAACCTTTTCAGAACAATGCCACAATTTGGTTCTTATACAACCATACTTCTCACAATGCCAGCTGGTCACTAACAATAACAACATTTAGCTAAATAATATTCCACTATTATTCTAACCACTATTATAATCATAACACCGTCGAATCGCTATCTCCCTGTCACTAGAACCCATTCCCTCAGAAACCTAACCCCCGAATCGAGCATGGC